TCTTGCTTCCCTGCTTCCTGATTCCAGCTTCCCAGCCACACACAATATGATAAAAACATTATTTCACAAAAAATCATCAAATATAGGTGAATCACACACTTTATTGACTGCAAGGGAATCCTGTCCTGCCTTGCACAGCCTCTTTGTTTTGCCTGCCTATAGGTAAAATAGGAGAGACTTCATATGAAAACCAAAACAGCTTTCATTGCTCCCACTATTTCTATCACATCCACAATTAGATCTGAGTAAATCAACTTGACACTCCTGTAATCTTTGCTTAAATTTGTATTTTAGGTTGGCACATAGAAATCCCTCATTACTCAGTAAGAAAGTGGCTACCAGGGGAATCAAAAAAGAAGTCATAATTTCAAAAACTGTTTTACATTTAAGAAAGCAATATGCTTGGCAGGTCTTGCAAGATAATTTTCAGATAAAGCCCTTCAGTTTCATAAAAAACATTAGTAATCTGAAAATAGGCAGAACCGACAGGTCATGCTCTGGTACTTTACTCTGGCTGGGAAAGACATAAAAGGAGCACAGCAAGAGTTCAAAACCCCAAATATTTGTACACCCCAATAAAAAGGAAAAGAAAGTTCAAAAGAATATAGTTTATAGACTAAAGTTACATACAGTCATCAAGTATTTGCTGCCTCTGGAAAAGTATGGACCAAAGGAAATTCCAGTTCCCTCTTGCCCAATTCTTTTGTGGGTGGTTATCTTCACAAGCTTTGCAGGAAATCAATGCAATCAGAGTTGTTCTTGTTGCAAAGAGACTAATTAAAATGCAAATAGATCTACAGTGGTTTTGTTAATGAGGTAAACAATTTCCTCTTACAATACAACCCCATCTACAAGACCTTTCAGCCATCCCTTATTCACACTGGTTTATCCATTGCCTTGGTTTGTCCTCTCATAATTACCCAAAATGCAACAAGCTGAAGAAAAAAATTATCTATCAGTTGGTCAATAAAGAGGTACATAAAGTACCATAAACAGGAGGATGATCTGGATGACTTGGTCAGGTCCATTGTTCTAGGAAACTCCATCATCCTCAGTTTTCAATAAATACTTCAGAATGTATTTCAATGCCCAAACCAGGATGTCAGACCAGAGTGACTTCAGGCCTGAATGCTCTATAGTTTTTATAAAGTAAGCTCTCACACTGGTGAACTGGGAACACCAGTGAAATTTAGAATCCCAGTTTCATCCCTGATGAAATTCAGCAAGAACTGAAGAGAAGATGTACACAAGAAGCACCACTGAATATGCATCAGAAAATGAAAGACCCTAGGGAAAATCAGGGACTATTTTAAAAATAGAGGCTTTCTGCATTAGCTATGCAGAACTGGGGACTGAGCTAATATAGGCTGGAGCTTGTGCAGGAAATCTAATGCTATAGGAAATCTCTATATGAACAGAATCACAGGAATATATGGTGGGAAGGGAGCACCCGTTGAAAGCTCAGCTCGTTTGAGCAGGTCACAGAGGGCACTGTCCAGCTGAGTTCTGCATATCCAAAACCTCACCAGGGCAGATGTTATCTTCAGCTCAGTCACCCTTCCACTCCTCCATGAAATCACCCACCTGTTCCTGACTATTACCAGTGCCGTACTTGCCAGTGAACAAAGGGATTTTTAATAAAAGCTTCAGGTTAGTCAGCATCAGGCATTTTGTAAAATCACATCTTCCACTTGCAAGATAATTTTACACTTCACATGAATTACTTAACTATTCTAATTTCTGTTCATTTTGTAGTTTACTTTAAAGCTACCAAAACATTGGAAAAGAAGTGCCAATTACTTAGGAAAATCACCCATAAATATATTTGATCAAGAAGGCACAGGATGGCATCAATAAAAATTGCACTTTAAATTGGAGCAACACTGAACAGTCAGAAAACATGCCTAGCAGTGAGAAGCAGAAGATACACAATTAATTAGTATTGCTGTCATCTGAAAATTGAAAACACTGCAAGCAAAAGATGTTAGATAATGAAATTAGTTGGACAGAGTTGCATAAAATGTCTTAGAAGAGATGACACTGACTAGTGTAGTCTGATGCCACACCACTCTGTCATTTTTGCATGGAAGCAATCAGAACAGAAAAGGCAGCAGTTAAGTGAAAGCAAATGACAACACAAGCCCCTTTTCCCTGAGAAAATGGCACAGCCTCTGACTTTTGTGACTGCAGAATCTCATCAAAGCTAAGCTGTACTGAGAAATTTCCATGAGTAATTTCCATGAGAAAGCATGGAAATTCCATTTAGATGTTATGTTTCACTGTGTACAAATGATATGCATGCAGAAATTCAAGCCTCCTCCTGCAGGCAACTTCAAGGAATTAGGACAGTGATAAGTTAATTTAGTCTATTCCCCATTAAATTCTGCGATATGAATAGCTCACGAAGAAGAAGAAATATTTGAAAAGAGGCTTTGGGAAATGCAGAGCTAAGTTTCAAACAGGTTAAAAAAAGCTCTTTTGGTTCTAAAAGTTATTACATTTTAATAAATTTAGAAAGACCTAGGAGGTGTTCATATACTTGCTGTATGTTTTGCAATTACCACAAAGCTACACAGTATTTAATTCCAATGTCAACATGTGCTAACACAATACATTTAAGTTCTCAGACTGGTGGCAAATCCTCATATCTGAAAACTCCTAAGTTTCCTTAGAGTACAGATTTTACAGGTACTTGTGTATTTTTCAGAAAAAATATCCAGATTTAATAGATGTCACTGTTTTCTTGAAATATTTAACATATATCCCTCAGAATTGAAAACTTTGTATTTGCGTAAATTTGGGGTCTTTCAGAATACTCACAAGATTTCTTTTTCAAATTGACAAGAATATGAATCCAGAAAATATTGTTGTTCTAAGTAAGTTATATGGTGACAAATTTAAATAATAATGCACTTAAAGCAGGCAATCAGCACTGAGCTAAACTGCATAATTTAGCCTGACAAAGGAATTCCCTGATGACAGTGGTATTTTCATGCTCACGTTGTAATGATTATATATCTTACTACATAATTTCAAACAGAAACAAAGTAGACAGATGGCAAGGAGAAGAAAACATCCAAACAACTACAAATGTAAATATAAAAGAAAGGGGATTACAAAAAGTGAAAGAGCTGAGAACTACAATTAGCCATTTAATTATATTTAACTTGATAGTTATTGAAGTACTTTCCACTAGGACCCCCATTGATCATAATGCTCATAGCCCATGATATTTGGCCAGGAAATCCAGCCTGGGCTGTCATCAGAGAGATCAGAGCTGGAGAGTGGACAGGGGGGCTCAGGGGAGGGTGGAGGCTTCCTGGGAAGCAGATGATGGAGCTGCTTGGACTGCTGGTGGTGCCAGGAGAAGGGAGAGAGGGTCTGGGAAGGTTTACCACAGGGTCAGCAGTGGGTGAGTGCAGCTACACATAAAAGAATGAGATGGGAAAGAAGGAGGAGCTTTGCTGCAGGAGAAATTTTTAAATTAATCAGTTTACTGAGCTTAATGAGTGATGTGAAAGTACCTACCTATTATAAACAGCTTTAGTGAATTCATGTTGGCATCACCAGTCTGCTCCCTACTCATCTGAGACTTTCAGCATATACTTGACTTTCAGCTTGTACTTTGTTCGGTTAAGTGTACATGTAAAATTAAACTCAGTATCAAAGGCTTCCTGAACTGGGGATTAGCATTCTGCTGAAGTGGGGAGGACAAGCACAATACCAAATGTATTGAGTGTTACCTGTTTGACAGTAACATAATGTAGCAATGACCAGGCAGATTTTTCAGGCTTGGGAATGCCTGGATTTTCACTGAGGCAAGGAGGGTAAGTGCCAAGAGCCAAAGGAGGATTGCTAGGGGTGAAGGTGGTGGAAAGAGGAGATTCATTGCCAAACAGGCAGCTCATCTCTGTCTTGGCCTCAGAGCCAGACTGGTGCTGTGGCACCCATTGCTGTGGACACCTAGACTGGGTGTGTGAGGTGCCAGAGGTTGTACTGGATCATGGTAGGAGTACAGCCCCTGGGGCTGCTGCTGTGTGCCCTCACCTTCCCTTCTGCTAGAGCAGGACCAGGATTTCATCTGAGAACAAAGCTGTGATCCACGGATGAGGCACTGCACAGAGAGTGCTGGGCACAAACAGACATTGCCTGTGCCATGGGGGGCAGCTGGGGAAGGCACTTAATAGCAGCTGTTTAATACCAGCCCTGGCTAAACCAAATGGAGACCATGCCCTGCCACCATCCCCTTCTCTTATCAATCCTGCTGTGACACCTCCTGGTTCTGTGACTGGTTCCTCCATTCAGTTCAAGATTGTAACACAAGCTGATGAAGCTCAGAGGTCCTGTGCCAGCTCCTAGAGTCTGCTTTTCAGCCACTCCAGATTAAACAATACCAACAAAACAAACAAAAAAAAATAGTACTGAGGAAGAGAGTGGGCTAACATCTCACTAACTAAAAAGACTGAGAATGTGGATGTTTCACCTTTTCACTTCACGTGCTAACGGCGTAACATAACAGAAAAAATTCAGAAAGCAGAAAGTGTTTGTGAGCTGACAGTGCAAGGAGACGTCAAGTGTTTGCAGCGTTGATGAGGGGAGCCTCACGATGAGTGCGGCGGGTTTGGTGCAGATAAGGAGCGCTGGGGTTCGGGCTCTCCGGGCGGCGGGGCCGTGGCTGCGCTGCGGGGCAGGCACAGCCCAGCCGAGCGGAGCGGAGCGCGCCATTCATCCCCCGCGGAGCGGAGCGCACCATTCATCCCCAGCACGGCCGGGGACAGACTCCGGTCCAGCTCCCACACAAATCTGCACCGGGTTTGAAAAACCACTCGGACCTGCCGAAGTAAGACCTTGACAAGCACAACTGCCTTTAGAATCCAAGTGTGCAGGTTTGCAGGCTGAGGAGGGGCACGGGCAGGGATGGCTCGTTGGGAGCCGGGTGCCCCGGGTGCGCCCTTAGCTTCAGACACGAGGAGAAAGCAGTGAGCATCAGCACCAGCCCTTTGGACAACAGGCAACTCGGCAGAGGATGTCCTATCAGGATGAATATGGCTCATTCAAGAATTAACTCTCTACTCATCTTCTACCTCAGTTTTTTGCTGCTCATCCATTTAAAAAGTAAGATTTGCACTTTTTCTTATTGTTCTGACATGTCCTCTGGGGAGATGGTTAGACATGCACTTCTAGCAGAAAGCTTGTGTTGTCAGAAGGCTTTAAAAATTTGATGGAGATGCCAAAAAAATTTGGTCCATGAAACTAAGTTGTATGAACTCGTTGTTTGATAGCTTTCCTGATCTCCATGCTTCGACTTTTTTTTTAAATAAGGAATGAAAGCATTTTGTTGCTTCGCATATTCAAAGTACAGTAATAAATTATTTTGCTAAAACTGTACCTATACTTTAAAGTCTGCCTTTTGATACCACTCATTCAGTAAATTTAAACCTTTCTGATTTAAATCTAAACTTATTTATCCTTTGCTTAAACTGTTCATGTTATGTTTTCCAGTAGTATTGGTTTATTATATATACTTTCTAAACTACAGCCTCTAGAGAAAGCAGTTATTAACTGTGTTGTATTTGGTGTTGTAAAATATGCCCATTATGAGGGAGCATGACAGTCCAACTACTTTTATAGAGAAAAAATGTTCTCGGCAAACTTCCACATAAACAGAAGTGTGCAAAATAGAGGAAGTCACAAAGGGTTTCCTTGATAATTTTGTGTCAGATGGCTGCGAGTAAATGCAAGCCAAGGAGGCTAAATGGCCTCAGCTGGTGAGGCTGCTGTGTGTGTGTGAAAAGCAGCAGCTCTTGAACATGTTTAAAATGAAGATCTGCAGGATGTGTGCCTGAGGAGGCTGTTTGATTTGTGTCTGTTGCATGTGAATAGCAATAACACAAAGCTTTGAGCAGCTGCCATTAAACAAGAAGACTTGGCATTAGTGTTCAGTGTTGTGTAATCTGGGTCACCTTCTGTTGCTGCATCACTCAAATTGTTACTTGGACAGTTTACAGCCCAACATAAATTAAAGACTAAAAAGCAAACAGATGCAGTTGAATCAACCAGCACTGAAAAAAAAAATCCCACGCTTGAAAATATAAGAAAAATACAGAATGTCATAGAAACATCATTTTATGCTAGTAATTTTCTTTTTGGGGAAGTACTGATGTGAATCAGGGAAACCAAAGGGCTTTTTCTAAATTAATTCACAACAGGACATACCCTAAAAAAACCAAACCAAAAACAAAAAACCAAAACAACAAAAAACTGGACCTTTAACTTTCACAAAGTAATTTTCAAAGTTCATCCTCTAGGATGAACAGCCAGAAAGTCTCTAAAGAGACTGCTATCTAAGTAAAGGAACATAATAGTAGTTGTGTTAGTTAAGAAAATGTATTTTTTCCACGAGGCAGGCAAATCAGAACAAAATATAAAAGCTTTGGGAAGGGGAAATGAAAAGTTAAGTTTTATAAATTAAGAAGATCACATTAAAAACATCATGCACAAAGAAAACATCACTAGAATGAAAACAAGAAAAAAGCCCCCAGGAATCAGTTTAAAGAGAGAAGATAAATACAAGTTTTGGCTTTTACCTCGGGTGAGCATTGCTCAGTGCAGGATGCCAAAGGCAAGGAAAGTAATTGTGTGTCATTTTATGCCTTTTCCTTAGCCCACTTACCTGGGATGACAGCTCAGATGTGCCATGGGTGTTCTCTGGGTTCTGGCCATATGGCCAGTCTCAAGCAAGGGGCTTTTCAGTCTTGGAGAACTTTCTCAGGTGGAACTGTGGCTGTTGTCACAGTGTGACACAAATTGATATCCCAGGATGGAGCAGCTGCATCAGGAAGCAGAATCAGGCTCAGGACCATACCTCTACCTCTCAGTGCAGTGTATTTAATGATCTTGAGAGGTGTTTTCTCTTTAGAAAGCTTGTACCCCCCCTGAAACTGCTAACAATTTCTGTTAATAAAATCATAACTGTGAACAGATGAGACAAAGGTAGAAGCAGAACTGACTGCAATTACTTCCCTACTTAAAAATTATAGCTGAGAAAGACCAAGACAGAAAAGCTGAGGATAAAATGGAACAAAGGTGATTGATGATATTATTTATAGAAGTTGTATCTGCCATTATGTTTTTAAAATCAGTTTACTGGATTTGTCTTCTCCCAGAGGATTCTAATCTTAAGTCCTGCTTAAAGGCAGAATGTCCTTTATAACTACTAACTCTAAACAATTTGGAAAATAAATAGTATTTAGGAGCCAAGAACTCTGGATGCAAGCATTCAATACAAGTTGGGTTTATATGGCATTTTGTGAACATCATTTGTGTCTACAAATCATACTAAATGAACCACTCACAGAAAATTAATCTGGGGGCATCCAGAGATGCCCAGCTCTGTGTGAGGAGGGACCAAGAATCATTATGTACAACAGGGACAGGAAGCATGTTCCAAGGCCAGAACAGCACTGATAACTCATTGCTGCCGTACTATTGTCTAACAGGAATTACAAGCATGAAACTGTGGGCAGGGAGTTGCTTATGAAATAGAGGAAGAGGAATTCTGATAAATACAGGTACATTTACACATCAGTTTTGGAAGTCATTCTATCTGAAGTCAAGTTCAAAATCTTTTCATTCAACATTTAAGTACTGATTTTTTAAACAAGTTTTACAATGGATTACCTATCACTACTGCAGAATTGTCTTCATTTTGGGAAAAATATAGACAAGGAACATTTTAAGGTCAAAATTATTGCCCATATATACTGTGGATGCCCCATCTCTGAAAGGGTTCAAGGCCTGGTCTAGTGGAAGTTGTTCCTGCCCACAGCAGGGTTGTTCAAACTAGATGATCTTTAAGGTCCTTTCTAACCCAAACCATTCTGTGATTCTATTTATCTCCATTTTAGTAACCTTCCAGCAGAGCTGAAAAAATGTATTATTTACTTCAAAATCAATGCTTCATAAATTGTTCAAATGTTCATAAATTAAGAATGGAAATTCATTTGGGATTGCTGTTAATGTGAGCAAAATATCTGAGCTTTACTTGCAGTCTTTTTCTACCCCTCTGAGATGTTGGCACTATGCAATTTTTCCCCGTGGACAAAAACTCTTAATTTCACACAACTATTCCCATTACTCACAAAACTTCTAATTACTGCTTAATTACTGTGTTAGGAATAAAGCTCTGCTTATAAAGAGATTTGTGGTTTTGCTCACACTGCTCATGCCTCATGCACACCCGGGTGATGTAAGGAGCTTTCCAGCAAAGTCTTGTTAGTGTGGTTTGATGAGCTCACAGCCCATTCGGCAGCTCCTCATTAGCCCTCCGTGGAGCTGAGCCTGTCAGAGCTGCACTCAGCAGCCCTGCAGCCCTGCCTCCCTCCTGGCTGTCACACATGGCATCTGGAGCACAGCAAAAATGAAACATCCTTCAGATGTCTGCCATCATCTCCAGAAAGTTAAAAGCAACAGCTCCTAGACACAGTTGTGCTGGGTTGGGTTTTTTTCCCTTTTCATGTATATATTTTATTATGGATAACATCTCCTTCTCTGGAATGAAACTAAATCCTAAGAGTGAAAATTAGTAGCCCTGTAACTTAAGAAAAAGGCAGTAACTACTGCAAGATAAATGTGTAAAAGTGACATTAAGAACATCCCAGCCACAACTGTACTTGAGCCACTCAGTTCAAATTCTTACAAGGCATCCTTATGGTGCTACACCTACCATTCCAAGATTAGAGAAGGATACCAGGTTACAGACCCCTCTCTCTCTGTGTGCTCTGTAACTTGGGAACTGTCACCACTGAGAACCTCTGGAGATTAAACATTTCCCCACATCCCATTTTGTCACTCAGAAATTACAGTGCAAGATAAAAGCTTCTTCAAAAATTTACCCCTCAAATGACAGTGATTTTGGCAATACAGGACAAGCCACTGGATGATGTATTCACAGTCACAGGCCAAAAGGGAATTCTGCAGCAAGGACACAGATCAATCTCTGTAAGCAGGCTGTTTGTGACTAATGACCTATTAGGAAAGAGTCTGAGGGGCAAGAAAGGAGGTTGTGCAAAAAGGTGTTTTATCATTCATGCTTAACCAGCAGCAGAGACCTCACACTGATCTTGAAATACTAGTGTATGTTAACCTGTATCCATGATAATGGACTGGAGAAACTGAGGCTGGAAAGTTAATTTAATACAAGCAGAGGATATAAACCTAATGTTTTAGTATATACATAAACCTTTCAAAGGTGTCCTCACACAAAGTTTATCTATCTATCTATCTGTCTATCTATCTATCCATCCATCCATCCATCCAATCATCTGTCTATCTCCTTCTCTCTCTCTCCAGTTTTTTGTTCTCCTTGTGTTACTTTGATAAACCTAAAGCACCTAGGGAGTCTTTTCCTTGTGCAAATCTCTACACCTTTTCCTCTTTGTTAGAGGAAGCTCAGACAAAAACCCAGTGCTGTTTAGAGTGCTCAAATTTTGATGGCCAAAGTGGGCACTTCCCCACTGAAAAGTTACAGGGAAAGGCAAATATTTTGCTGTTGTGTGTTGACAGTAAAATGACTTGTAAGACACAGGAGAGCAATCAAACCACTGTTCAGTACTGGCTGTATCCAGTTTTGAGTGCTGCTGTGAGCAAGAGAGAGGCAATTAGGAAAATGCTGGAAAGGGACAGCAAAAATAGAAAGACATTTAGAAAGATGTGCCCTCTGAGAAAGGGTCACAGGAAGGGAAGCCTGAGGGAAGACATGATTACAGTCTTACCTCCACAAAAGAGAATGGCAATCAAGGATGGTGATGAGATCAGTTGCTCCCTGTCACCTCTAGAAGGGCAGGCTCTGGAAAATAATAGATTCCATGTACATCAGGAAAGATTTGTGTGAACTTTCCCAACTGAAGGATAATTAGGACACTCTATCAGAACTTTTTAATGAATGGGTCAGATAAATATCTCCCAGAGATTGTCTAGACTGCTGTCTCACAGCTGGTGTTACACAGACCCCAGGCACCCAGCACCACCCTGGGGGATCTGTGTAGGCCTCAGAGGGCAGAGCCCCAGAGAGGCCCAGGTGGGGACTTGTCCCAAGGGCTGTGGTGGCACTGAGG